GAGTATGAATAATTTCTATCACGGTTATCAGAAGCACAACCATACATACTTCTTAAGGATATTTTTTATGTATTTAGTAAAATGTGCTGCTAATGTTTAAAAATAAAACGTATTCTCGCTTAGCAAATGAAAAGTGGGGGGCTTGATAGATGCGGGGTAGAAAAATCAGAAAATCTAATAAACGAGGAGGTGGGGTGGTGGAAGAAATTAAAGAGGATCTAATAAACGGGTAGAGTGTTTAATAAATGGGGTGGTACGAACTGATTAAAAACAATTCTTAAAGACGTCGCTAGAATAAAACTCAAAAGAAATGATCATCAATGTCTTTAAGTAAAACGCTTTAACAAGATTGAAAATTTAAATAAATGCTTAATGATAAATTTAGATTAAAGTAATTCCCCATGTATTATACGCATTATTTAAAAAAAAAATAAACAAACTTAGGGGTGCGTATTATGCACGGCTACAAAAAATCTTTAACTAATTGCCGTTTCATAGGTCGATGTCAGTTGCGAAATGACTACTCACCACAAACGTACGACAATTTGGCACTAACATTCGACAATTGCGGCCCCATAAGGATGTCAAATATAATCATATGTACCTAACAATACTTATAAATTTAAAATAAAAAAAGAATTATCATAAAATTAAATTAGAATAATATTATTTTATGTTTAAAACCATTTTTAAATAAGACTAGGAAACGCTAGCCGTAATGAAATTGGAGAGGTACAATTTACAGGTTTGATTACCACACAAGGGTGCGTATTATGCGTGAGTAGAAGCATTTTCCCAGATTTTCAGCAGAATTTTAGGGGTGTGTATTATGAATGAAGGCGTATTATACATGGGGAATTATGGTAGATAATAAATAAATGGTCATAAAAAAATCAACAAATTAATAAGCAGGCATGGAAAGGTCTTAATAATCTCCGATGTTGTTGAACTAATGTCCAAATATTAACAAGCTGGGTTGGTTTTTATTTTGAAAACTATTTCAACAAATAAATTACAAACTTTAAACGCGATAATTACAATAATTTGAATTTTAGACAATAATACAAACTGTCGGAAATTTTACTATAGATTTATTTCTGAAAACTAGCAACCGTTGAATCTCTCATTCATATTGCTATATCCCAGATTGTTGGGATGAACAAAATTGAATAAAAATAAAAGACACATAATAAAATAACTTTTATTCATTTACTGCCTGAGAATAGCAAAGATTTGTTTGAATTCAAACTATGAGTTCCACATACTTGTCAGCTTATCACCAGTGGGTATGGCTTTCTCCTTAGTCGAGGTGATTTCTTTCGTGTACTTTTTGCTGGAGTAATATCTTTCTCCCTTGACATTGCTTGTGAACTTGTTGAGGCAATTCGAAGAGGTCTAACAGAATATCCAGCGGTAAAGTGGAGTTTGATTTGGTCTCTGGAAAGATTTCATGGTCGTAATTGGTTTGCATGTTGAACCCAGACTGCATGTCGAAGCCAGACTGAAAACTGTTTATCCACATCATGCGTAACATTTCCAGAGAGACATATAATTCGTCCTTGGATCCATTTTTATTTTTACCGTTGCGGTAATATTTTGCAAGTACAAGTTGTTCTGGTATATATTTGCGTTTTACTGATCCATTATGACGGTTAAATTGTTCTTCAATCACAGTGTTCCTTTTCAGGGAATGGTTTGTAATTTGATGGATAACATTTATATGCAAACAAACTTTAAGTCTCATCAAGGCATCTGCTGTTGAATTTCACTTAGGTTTGTTTGGATTGAGTGTAGTTTTTTGTAATTTCTGATGAATATTTCTAAAATTTCTTGTTTGGTTCCCTTTCGAGTTTTAGTAGTGCCCTCTACAAGGTATCTACAAAACGCTCCACATGTCCATTTGATTGTGAATGAAAAGATGACGTCATAATGTGTTGAATACAATTCTGTGCACAGAATGTTGAAAATGCAGCTGAAGTGAAAGCAGTGCCATTATCAGAAGCTATTATCTCTGGAACTCCAAATCTACAGAATATTTGCTTTAACGTAATTGATTCATCTGAGGTGATGCGATTCATCTAAAAAATTCTGGCCATTTGCTGTAGGCATCAACGAGGATAAAATAATACTGCCTTTTGATGGATCCAGCAAAATCAGTGTCATGGTGTGACCAGGGATAGACTACTAACTGAGTGTAGTTTTCCTGGGTGATTTTACTGCCAGCTGGCAATTGAAACACATGCCTACCAATTCCTCCAACTGCTCGTCCTTATTGGCCAATAAACATAGCTATGTGCTCGAGATTTCATACGGTTAATACCTTGATAGACATAACGGAATTGCTTTATCACCCTTTCATGTAATGAAAATTGGAGAATCAGACGTTCCGCAAAAAGAAGACATAAATCGACTTCTGACAATGAATATCGACACTGAAAGAATGATTTCATTTTTTTTTTCAGTGCACATTTCTGGCCATTTTGTACGATTGAAGCTTATCACTTTATGTAACACCGGATTAGATGCTATGAATTTATGGATCATTATAGGAATGTCTGGTAATGCTCTTACAATGGATGCAAAGACTGAAGCAAATTCTGGCCCTGGAGATAATGCTACGATGACTGAGTATTCTGGTACTTTGTTTTGTGTAGTCATGAGTTTAGATAATGCATCGTGATCAACTGTATGACTTGAATTGTATTTTATTGGACAATCATATTATAACAGCATAGTATATATATATATATATATATATATATATATATATATATATATATATATATATATATATATATATATGATATTCTTTTCTTATTGCTATAAACCCTATTTTTAGAGGGTAGGCGTGTTTGAGTTGCAACCGTTACTTTTTTTATATATTTAACAGTGAATTTAATAACGACCGGACTAAATTGAGAAGTCCGACTAAGAAAATTGCGCCTCCTTTTTTCATCATAGAAACCACTTTTAAGAGTCAAAGTGTGTCACTACCAGTTTGGCTATTGAGGCCAAAGCAAGGTTTGAATTACCTATTTAATGAAAGCACGTTTGTTAATGACGTGTACCCACTAAAATTAACGTTTATAGTAATCAGAAACACA